GGGGGGGGGAGGGGTTGTCTGGCCACTGACTATTCATTCTTCGGTCCCTGGATCCTAAATTCCTGAATCTTGAGGACGTAGGAGTAGCATGGTAATAAAAGAACAGATGAGTTGCACAGTGGCTCAATGAAAGGGGCAGCAGTCCAGCAGGAATGCTGGGATTTCTGAAAAGAAAAGAAACAGGTGTTTTCCTATTCTGGAGCTCACGACAAGATCAGTTTCTACTGAGGTGTTTCCCATCCACAGTCTGAAAGCATGCTTGGAAACACCAGCACTGTAATTCCCAAAATCATGCCAACACTCTCAGGCTGTGAGTGTAAATGATTGTAAAAAGAATGCAAAAACAGGAAGGAAGAGGAGAGAAAAGCATCTTTTAAATTCTCCTGTTTTGCAAGCACAAACTCCTACCTAGCGGCATGTGGATTCCAGCCACAGCCAGTCAGAGCCTCCGGCCAAAGACAGGCCAAGAGGAGCAGACTGCTACAGAGCTGGCCTCCACTCTGCCGTCTCCCCAGCCACTCAGCACCAGATACACTTTGGTAATTCTGTCTGCTGGCTTCTGATCAAATACATGTGTCAGCTCCTTCCTCCTGGATTGCCTCTTCTGTGACTGACAGAATAAGCTAAGCACGGACATATAGACATGGAAACAACCCAAAACCAAACCAGAACAAAAAAGCCACCCCCCAAACAAAAATAAAACAAAAATCCAAAAACAAAACAAAACAAAAAAGCACAATCTTTGGAACAAAAGAATTAAAGGCAGAAATTTAAAGGAAAATACATATTCAAAGAACATAGTGAGGTATAAAAAAGTATTCTCTCTTTTTTGTTTGTTTGTTTTCCTCTTCATCTTGCTATAGAGTCCTCTACTAGTAAATATTGCAATAGCCAGGCCTCATGAACTGGGGGCTGTCCCATTTGCAGGGGTCTCACGTCACTTCAGTAGGGGGCAAATCGGCTGTAGCCACCTCGGTACAAACTCGCCTGCAGTAAGTAAAGACATAAAAATAATTGAGAGGTGATGAGAGAAGCATTAGAAACAAACAACATGTCTTGGGAAGGGACTTGGTCAACAGGTGCTGCTGGCTGCAGTAGGACAGAAGAGCACCTCGTGGCTGGGGCATCACAACCACTAGGCACAGAAGGGGGACTTGATGTGGTTTCCAACTAGTTCTACAAGTCTGTCGAGTGATGCTACAGTCCCGGCTGAGCTTCCTTCTCACTCATAACCTGTCGGTGTTACTTCCAGCTACTTCTTGGCAGAAGTGATCACATACTGTGTGCATGTGCACGCGACCCCTGCTTGTTCCCTTACCTTTGTAGACTGACTTTCTCTGGTATCCTATTTGCTTTCACATGGGATCTTCCCCTAGGTCTTTCTTTCAGGGTAGGGGATTTATACTTGGCATGAAATACGACAGGTGTCACTATGGAGTGGCCTGACCTTGTAGCTATGAATCCCAACCTGCAGTAAAGGCATCTAGGCCAAATCCAAGAAGGCTACAGCAAGAGCATCAGTTCCATGGATGATTCTAGACATGACCTATGCACTTCTTCCATACTTTCCTGCAGCTGCTGCTACAAGCTGCCTCTGCAGTGTTCACAATGCTGGGTTCCCAATACAACACACCAGAAGGCAGGAGGACGGCAGGGACGTCGTCAGGCACCAGTAACTAAAAACTGAGTATACTGAGAGCTGTGAAAACTGGGCACCTCACCAAGCCCCAGCCTTTGCTACTACCAAGGACTTAACGCTACTGGTATGCCCCTGGCATGGGAACACATTCACCATCAATCCCACTGCCTTTCCAAACAGATAGGTCAAGAAGTAACGCAAATTCTCAGGGTCTCGTGTGGCTCCTACACTTTGGCAGTGGATGAGGTGACAATGTATCACTTTCCCAGATCTTTCAAAAATGGCAGGTGGGAGTTAGGAATAGCATATAAACTTACCACAGCGCCAACTCCATAGCTGGCGGCAGGGGCGAGGGCGTGGTAGGGGTCAGCTGTGTACACCCTGCCGTAACTGGAAAGGAGAAACACAGTCAGGTGGAGATAGACGAGATTGAAACTGACAGTCCTGTGCTGCAGATCTGGACTATTGGTAGGGAAAACGGCAGATGGAAAAGCCTTCCTATCTCTGTTCCTGAGTGCAGTAACTGAGAAATCCTGACATTCTTGAAAAAGCAGCAAAGACAGGGCCAAATGAGGAAGACTGTCTGTAATCACAGCCCAAGAGACAGAACGAGAGAGCAAGTAGAAGAGGCTGGGCCTGGGTGCTGCGTGGCAGGAGCCATGAAGAACAGGCTCTAGAGAGGGCAGGCTGGCAGAAGCCTGGGGGCTAAGGCCGTGCTGGAGATGGCGGAGGTGGAAGAGGCTGATGCTGCAGACGGCGCGGTGCCCCGGGCGTCAGAGCCTGCTTGCTCTGGCTCTGTACATACCCGTCGCTGTAAGCGGCTGCAGCGGCGGCAGCAGCTGTGGCTGCGGTTGCAGTAGCAGGCTGTGCATATCTGTAGGCTGCATATCCACCCTACAGGAGAGAAGAGAACTGACTTTACAGCTACCTCTCCCCGAGACAGATGCCCCCCGCCCCATTACAGACGCACACGTGTAGACACAAGGACAGACACAAACACAGACACACATGGGAAAGGATGTTTCAAACTGCACCAGTCTGCATGTTCCTCCTATGGCAGGAAATCAAGCTTTAGCCAAGGTAGGAATTTGCTTTCCAATTTGTGACACTAAGAAAAATCGAGTTCATAGGTACTGCCTAGTAATTTTAAGAAATACAGATAGGATTTTGGATCTTACTTCACAGTGTTTTCTGGAACTCTTGACAGAGAAAATATTCATGAAATGTCAGGAGAACCCTGAGTCAACATGCATATACCAGTTAAAAGAATTAAAGTCTATTATATTCACAGGTGTCAATTTCAGATCTCTGTACTGGGCCTGGCTGGTTTCTAAGAGGATGTTGTAGGTCATGGGAAGATCCGACCAGAGCTTGGGTCCACCTGGTGGGGCATGTCTGTCGAGAGCACCACTGAGAAGGAAGGGACCAACCAGACCAGACAGCAGAGAACTGCCGGTGAGCTACTAATAAACCCCGCCACCTGCTTTCAAGTAGTGGGGACAGAGACTATGGCTTTAAAAGCCAAATGTTTAACCCTAGTTCTCTCCAGAAAAAAAAACTCTTACTTCTAGCCCACATTCCAGACTCAGGGAAATCACATTACAAGTGGCTTCCAAGCATTTGGCTAGCTCTGACGAGGTGAGACATGCCCCAATTGTTTTTCTCCCACAGCAGTCTCTGGGAGCTTTCCCCCTGATGGCTGGTTCATACACCCTCTTGAGAAGTCAGTCCTGAGGAACTTAGAACCATGACAGCTGCTACTCCACCTGCATTCTGATGAACTACACAAAGGCAGATGTGTGGATGAACAGAGATGTACCTTCCAGAAGGACTCAAGGACAGTTGTGTAACCAGGGCTCATGAGACAGGTCGATTCAACTGGCAAGGCCTAGTTTCACTTAGCCCTCTGCTGTACACTCACCTTGTCTAAATCCAATTCAAATTAAAACAAAAACAAACAAAAACAAAACAAAAAAAAAAACCACCTGGGACAAGGTTTCTCTGTGTAGCTCTGCCTGTCACAGACTTGCTCTGTAGACCAGGCTGGCCTCGATCTAAGAGATCCGTCTGTCTCTACCTCCAGGGGCTGGGATTAAAGGTGTGTGCCACCACTGCCCAGCCAGATACACATTTTTATTGCCATTCTTTGATCAAAAACAGCTGTTCAATTGGTCCCACTAGCTCAGTTTGTTCAGTCCTGAATGATAAAGGGTTTGTTTCTGTGGACAGTCCACATATCATGGCAGCTCAAGTACTGCATTTTTCTCTTCCCTTGAATGCTCATTTTTTGCAACTTTACAAAATAGATTCCACATTTACTTTTTTTTTTTTTTGTGCCATCAGTTAGGGTTGAAAAGACACATTCGCACGTGAGTCTATCTCTAGAGATAGAGCTAGCCTAGGCTGTCTGGGAACTCACCACGTAGACCAGGCTGGCTTTGATCTTACAGAGATTTACCTGCTTCTTCCTCCCAAGTGCTGGTAAAGGCGTGTGACTTAGGAAGTATTTTCTATGGGAACTATGGTGCTCTTCTCTGGCACCTACCTAGCAGCTCTGGATGGTTTCTTTGATTCCTGATAACTCTCATTTTGGAAATACTTATACTTTTATAAACGTCTACGATTTCTCTACTACAGCACAGCAATACAGGGAGATCACCAAGTCCATTCTTTAAGAAATCAGCGTCAGCAGCTTCAAATAACCTTTTAAAGTCCAGTGGCTTCCAGCTGCCATGCAACATTCCCTTGCGGTCATTCTTTCTATAGGTGTCCATAAGGGACAATCTGAGTCACCATTACCAAACCCTGCAGTGACCTGGCAGGAAGCATCCTTGTGACGTTGAGAGCAGGCAGGACCTCTGGGCCATGCCTCACATCAAGCTCCACAGGGCTTGCTCCAGGCCTCAAGCCTCCAAAGAGGACAGGGATGGTGAGAGCATTGGTTAGAGAATAAAAAGTTCACTGTTATAATGCAATCTTTATCTGGGTCATAAAACAGCTCAGCTGTTTTATTCTCTTTAGATATGGTTCCATTTTTTAGAACAGAAGCCAAATCTTTAGTGAAACTTATGTAATTTAGCACTACATGCTTTGTCTCTTTAGCATTCCTTCAAACACCAAAATAATCTTCACAATTTTAGAAAGCTAAGATAGTGACATCAGCTGAAACCTGACCCAAGCTTAGCTATGTCCAGCATGTACAGATGGTTGTCACTGAAGTTCAGATCCAGGTCCGATCCCTAGGAGCTTGACTAGAGCACAGGGGCCACATGTGCATGCGCTCTCCAATCACAGCTCTTAGCTTCTCCTACTAACTGGAAGGAAAGGCTCCTAATTGAGGCAACTGACAGCCCTCAGTGGCGTAGGTCCTTCCCACCAAGGTCACAGGCCTTCTCCATCTGCAGCAGTTTGCTTTCATGAGGAGACCCTGACTTTGGGGTCTGGCTGATGAAGCTCTCTGCTTCAAGTGTAGGATGAGATAAAATATTTTATTGACACTGATGGGCCTAGGAGAATACTGGCAATAAGAAAAACTACTTAAAGCCAGGCACTGTGACACACACCTTTAATCCCAGCACAGGGACAGGGGGCAGAGGGAGTCGGATCTCTGTGAGCTTGAGGCCAGCCTGATCTACAAAATGAGTCCATGACAGCCAGATTACACAGAGAAACCCTGTCTCAAAAAATAAAAACAAACAAACAAACAACAACAACAACAAAGGAAAACTATTTAAAGCAGAGGTGGTCTAGCAGTTATAGAAGTCATTTAAAGGAGTGCTGCATGTCAGCTGGATGGGAAAACTTTACCCAGGCAACCTGGTAATTGACCCGTGCCTAAGGAAAAGTGCACCGTGCACCAGGAAGTGCTGCCTCCTTTTAGATACATCCTCCTCCAGAGTCTTTCTGCTGTTGCTGTAAATTGGGTACTCTACAGAACATTACACAAAACTCAAGACAAAAATCTACAAAATACAATTGACTTAACTGTATTCTAGGTTTCAGACTGTACAAAGATTCCGGGTTAAGAAATGTTTTGTTTTTTTTTTCCCCCTCAATCCCAGATTTTACTTTAACCAGCAATTTTAAAGGCTCTTATAGAACACGAGAGTAAAGTGCAGTTTGAAACACCAAGGTTTTCATTACTGTTTCTTAAAATTTTCAAAAAGAACAAGGTGGGAGGAAGGAGGGGAGGGCTCAGGCGTGGGGGGAGGGTGGCGCCACATTAATATTAATCACATTAAAACTGAGCATGCCGACATCCGGAGCTAAAACAACAGCAAAACCACCACGTCCAGACTGGCACTGGCTAACTCTATCTATCCCAGCATTCTCTTGGGACAGCGGTTTGCCCTAGGCTCTACCACAAGCTTGGTGAAGTACACAGCCTCAATTACTAGAGCGTGCAGCCACAACGACCTGGTATTACGGAAACAGTCAGTCACCACTTGAGTTAACATTCCATACCCTAACAACTGGCCCCTCCCCAGCCCAAAGGAGGAGTAAATCTTGCCCACCCGAGCCCTGGCCCATACCACAATGTTAATAATTATAACAAGCAGTAACCCATCTGTTATATCAGAGAAGGGAACAGAGACTCCACTGAGAGATTTAGAGTGAGATGTTAACAATTCTTCAGCTGACTGCACAAACAAACAAACAAAAAGAGGAGAAATAATTCATTTGGAGGTATGAAGTCATGAATAGCTGATGTGTATTGCTTTTAACCATGCACTGATGCAAAACTGAAGCAACCATTAATAAAAATTAAAAAGGACATATGTATTTACACACAATCAGACCTGTTTGATCTGAAGCAGTTTGCAGATTCTATCTGTGTGTGATTTGAAATAAAACAAAAAATGGGGATTAGCATGGCCACAGCACACCATAGTGTCGGAGGGCACACACAGACGGCTTCTGGAACTCTGAGAGCTGCCTAAGTTTGGCATGGCTAAGTAAGCCTGGTTCAAATCCACACATGCCCCTTGAAAAACAGTTAATTTTCTCTGTAACCTTTCTAGCATTCCCAATTTGGTGGCCCAATCCTACATCCCTCTGCTATTCCAACTGCCTGGCCCTGGCAACAGAGCTCAGCCCAACCCACACAGCTCGCCCAGATACTCGCTCTCTGGAGCGAATGCATACTCCTGTCTACTGTACTTCCAAAGTTTCTCTTGTATTTTAGAATTTTGTTTTTTCAATTATTCATATTTTTGCTTCTACTTCCAGCTTCTCAAAGCTAAGTGCTGCTGCTTTAAGCCTCTTTGCTAATGACTTTCCGAAAATGTTAAAGGAAAGTCCTTTGCCCACAGCCCAGTGTTACCTCCTTGAGGTTTTCTACTCTTCTTCCCTGAATAGAATTAACTTCTATACCACTGGAATTCTTCTGTACCACTTCTACAGCTATGTTTGAAACAAAACAAGTGACCCTTGTCTGCACACCTACAGACTTTCATCTCGTCTTGATTTTAACCTTGCCTTTAATTTTATTGTATTTTTGCTTTAGGTTTACATTAAAACAGGACTTTGGTGAGCATGTGATGTCAAGACACCTTCTCTCTACCTGAAAGACAATGACATGTGACACTGAGGAGGAAAGTGTGTAGCTCAAGACCAGCAGACAAATGAAAGCTTGTTATTCCCACATAGTGTGCAGATGGACAGAGCAAGGCAAGTGTGTGCGCGTGCCAGCATGTGTGTAGGGGCTGGCGGGTGTGATGATTAGCATCACCACCACGGAGTGGAGGCCCGCTCCACTTAGCAAGGGCCTAATGTTTGGCCTCTAGAACTACCGCATTTGGCCCTCGATGATCCTAATGCCCTCTTTCCCCACTCCAGCTGAGAGCCACAGCCACAGGGGACACAAAGTTCTCATGCAGACACGGCACAGACTTGAATACAAAATGTATAATTTCTGTAGTGAATGGACAGATCTGTTTACTCTGAAAAGTGTCATTTAAGTTTCATCTCATGATTATTCAAGTTTGAGGTTAAGGAGAGAGACTGTTATGATCAACTTGATTATCTTTGACTTACACAATAGATGAGAGATAATCTTTCAAATACTTTGCTTTTCCACTTTTATCTAAATTAGTTTATTTCTAAAATATCACTGAGTTACATGAGATAACTGGGTTATTAAGTAACGGACTACTTTTCTTCTCCTAGAATCAAGCCATTGACAAACTCCTTAACAGGCGTGCTAATATCCGAACACTCACTGATCTTGTCAGGTGAAAGGAAAGAGGGCACAGGAGTTAATAATGTCCTGGCATGTCCAGGCAAGTAGCCACGCCATGCTTCTGCAGCAGCAGTCCATCTCTGACTAGGATTTCACGATGCAGCTAAACATGGGACTTGAAGCCTTGCGTGGGAAGATTTCTGTCTCCTCCCTTTTGACATTTCTTTCACAGTTAGCACCCTCAGCCGCTAAGCTCTCCACTATAAAAGACTGGTTTAAACAGCACAGGCAGATGTGACTGACAGGCTGGAAGAGGCAGCAATGACGGGATAGCCCATGGGATGCGTCTGTGGCAGATGTGTTGAGGGGACCGAAGGCTCACTTTGAAGGAAGTGCCATGATGTGTGGATGTGATATGTGCACTGCTGAGGTAGCAGGGCTTAGATCACACGCTCACAAGTCTTGATTGTCCAAAAAAGCCTCTGTTCCCATCTCTAACGTGGAGCTGGAATGGTTAGTATAATTCAATTTTTTCACTGCAATCCACAATCTGATTGATTGGCAGGTCACACTGGCACTCCTACCTGAGGTATTTTAGCGCTAATGATTGGTTCCTGTAAGACTATTCTATAACAGAACACAGGAAGAGCAGTTCAAAAACACAGCTGTGGAAGGAAAACAATCATACAAAGAGCCCACTATGGGCGGCCAGCCTTTTCTTTCCTTTGGATGCAAGCATGCTTTTCACAGGATGAGAATCAGTAGCAGATTGTTATCCCACTTAAAAGACAAAATTAGGGGGAACTATGGCTTTTCTAATGGGAAAAAAGGGGGAGTGACACACACCTATCCTGAAAGAGCAAGGATCTTTACAAATGGACAAGACGGCTTCATCAGTCCATTCTGTCTCCAGACAAAAGTATGCCAGAAGGAAGCACAGGGGAGAAGGCTCTCAGAGACCACTCCAGAATAGAACAGGTAAGACTTGGGAAGCACGCCAGCACTGAGGCCTTTCCCCTTCTGCTCATGCTCTGTCTGGGCCAGAGTGCCTTTTTACGCACTAACCCTGCTCTAGTACACGTTTCTGAGGAAGCTAGATGTAAAGGTTCAGTGATGGATTTCCACAGTTAGGAAACGTATAGAGAAAAGTAGAGAACAGCAAACTCAAAGCAAAATAGCCCATTTTTATTTGTGCATTTAAGAACCCTTCGTAGCTCCCTCACACGCGGACCATCCAGTTTAACAGCCATAGCTGTTAAACAATACATTGTAGCCCTGGTTTTCACCAGAGGGCTCAGATATTATCTCAGCACTAGTGACCAACTTTCCCCCTCCCAACAACTCTGCCTCAGATGGAAGAGAAAGAGGCAGGAGGCGGGTACCAGGGCTTAGGCTAGCAGGGGCTACTGGGAAGGGTATTTTGACTAAGCCACTGGATTACTTGTTTAGCTCCTGTAGATTTTTCATTTAGATTAAACAACAACAAAACAACCCCACAAGACAATTCTCTTGTTGGGCGTAGAAATATCTTTCATTAGGATGTTATAAAGCAAAATAAGGAAACTGAAGAGCCATAAACAAATATTTAGTTGGTTGGTTTAAAGTAAAAGCAGGCAAAACCAGGATAGAAGTAGGATATAGTTTAGAAAAAAATCCCAAATAAGGAAGACATTACATAAAAAAACTTAACCCCAGTTGGGGAAATAACTTAAATAGAAAAGCCTGCTCTACTGGAGCAGATTCCAAAACCATGAATAATTTAAAAACGAGTTTCATGAGAATGCAGAAAATATATATGCTAACATCACATGTAAATATGCACATTGAGAAATGTGTAATCTGCTGTAAAGTAAGCCAGATCTGCCCAGGCCTCAAGTGTGAACATAAGGGGAAAAGTAACTTCTTGAAAATTTGCTGAGCAAGAATTAGATTTTAATTAAAGTACAAAGAAAGGTAATGAAATATGGACGGGGGGGGGCGCTTTATTCTTGGCTGTGTAAACTATTTAGGGAATTCTAGTAATCACAGTTGAAGAGACAGACCATTGACTCATGACTGAGGTTCCTTTACTAGATACACACTTTCTAAGGACCTCTGACTAGCACAGGTGTAGACTCACCTGGCCTGAGAAAGCAGCACGTTCTACTGCCGCAGGCCTCAGTGCCTTCTGAATGGCCTGACGTCACACTGCTGAGGAAGTAGGCACCAACAGCCTCTTTATGGAAGGGGAGAGGAGAGGGCAGAGAGAGTGCCTCCTGGACATGTTGACCTGCCCCCCAGAATTAGTCCCTATGCTAAGTCTTCTTTACAAAACTGCCTTAATGACTTGGGCCAGTGGACTACGCTGGCATTCAGAAAAAGACCATCTGGAAGGCTCCTAATAACAGTCCTCAAAACTCAAAAGCTTTTCCTGTGTCAGCTAGATCACTGTTTATCTTTTAAGTAGTATGTGACCAACAAACCATAGAACTTCATCTCCAGCTAGATGGAGTAAATGCCACTGTGGTTGGTGGAAATGACTCCAAGAGTCCAGGCTGCTAATCACACCCCTCGGTTTCCCTGGCTGACTCCTAAGACAGAGCCTCACTGGCTCTGGACTCCAGGTAGATGGCTTTTAAACTGCCTATCTGTGAGCCTCTAGTTACTACACATTCCTCTCTGTGTACCTACAATACTATGATATCAGTTGCTTCATGTCACTTCCACAAGTATATGTTCTTCAAATCATGTAAAATTAGAAAGCACACAGTTCAGAAAATTTGTTGCCATTTATATAAAACAAAGCTGCAGTGCTCTAAAGAGGGTGTGGGATGACAAGAAAAGCACAAAGGGGAAAGAGCTGGTGTCAGACTAAGCTGGGCCTGTTACTTATGTATGGAGATGATGCGACAACAATACGACTTTAAACCTGCTGATCATCTCGCAAGGTAAGAGATGCCCAGAACATTCGTGGGCATAGGGAGGGGAAGAATATGTCCAGCAGACCGACCCCAGCAACCACCACGAAATCCAAAAGGCTTAGTTTTTGCACCCAGGGGCAAGCGCAGTGGCAGAGAAGCATGCTTGCATTCTTAAAATATATAAATATATAAATATATATCCACAAGGAAAAAGGAAAATAAGAATTAAATTATATTTTTTAAAAAAGGAAAACAAAACAAAATAAAAACAAAACAAACTAAAGAAACAGAAAAAAAAAGGCTGGCTTGTCAGGGGATGGGGTCAAAAAGGCCCCACTGTGTGTACTTACATAGAGGTCAGCACCGTAAAATCCGTCCTGGTAAACCACACTGCAGAAATCCACACAAAAACAAAAACAAAGAAACAAAAGAACAGAAACACATTCCGGTTATTGATGACGGCAGCATGCACATGCGCTACACAGGCAGGTGATGTATGAATGTGACTCGGCGCCTCGGCAAGCTGGTGGCAGGGTGCGCCAAAAGTGCATGTGTGTGTTCCATGGCTCCAGGGCAGGAGAGCTAAGGGTCTGCAAAACTAGACCGAGCACCTGGACAATGGGAAACTCAGACTAATTACATAAGCAGTGCTTCTGGCAGGGCCTCACGGAGCTGTCTGAGATCTGCTGGGCTGGAGAGACCAACTTCAGTATCTGGAGTACTTTTAACTGTAGGTTTGTTCTAGGAGAATGCTGTTCTTTAAGAGCTCACAGGAAAGGATAGTGAGGGGCTTAACTTCATGAAGAGAGGGAATAGAATGAATTCCGTTAGGTCAGGACCTACATGCGAAGTGTGTTTCAAATGATGTTTAGTAGTTATGTTCGTTTTCAAAGTGTAGATTTTCCTGCTATCCATACATCACCTGCTTTTTACCCTGCACATTAGACATGCGATAAGATTTGGCTGATCACACAAGCATGCAAAGTATTATTATTCAGCATTTTTAAGAACCAATGCAACACCTTGGAAAAACAAGTCAATCAATTCTGACCAAAGTAAACAGAGAAATGTAATTAAAAAAAAAAACCAAAAGAACAAAACAACCAAAAATACCCACAATGCATTGCTTTCACAAGCAGAGGTAATGAGCTCAAGGTTAAGGTGATTGGTCCAAGAATTGAAAGGTGCAGTGGGATCCCAGATAGTAACAATATAATCCAGAGTGGGAAGGAGCAACTGGAAGATTTTAAGGGTTCTTCCTTAACTAATAGAGTATTCGAAGAATTCTGAAAAATACAATTGGTGACCGAAACTCGGATCATGACTAGGCCTGTCCTACTTGACAGTGAAACTCTGGAAGCTGCTGGCAGGGCTCACTCTCCTGCTTGGTAATGGGCTTTGCCAAACAGGCAACATTAGTTTTTACACATAAATCTGGAGTGGCATTATACTATTATTCTTAAAATTTAGACTTTTCTCCAGCCTTATGAAGTGCTAGTGTCTAAATAGATTTCCCCCAAAACATTATTTTGGGAGCAAAAGACATAAATAATTGTAGAGAGAAAAGACAAACCTTTTTTTCACATTTGTCAGGTCAAGACTTGGATGCTTCATATATTTTAAAAGTCTGTTTTGGTTTATTAGCTACGTAAAACGAGTAATTTCTTTTTTCAGTTATGATGAATGAGCTAACAAGTAGGGCCACTAAGTCATATCAACAAGTGGCCAGGTCACACCTTGCCATGCAGCTAACTAACACTTGACCTGTTTGTGCAGCAGGAAAAGCAGACGGACTTTTCAATGTCCGCAGGCACGTTTTACCTGCGATAACCACGCACTTAAAGTCTGACATTGGGATGGATCTGCCTCTCCACTGCATTTTCATAAAAGACTTTTGTAGAAGGCTGATGAGTGGAGAGCATGGAGGCCAAGTGGGGACTGATCTTCATCAATGTCAGTGCGGGGACATAGACAAAGACAACAACACATTCCTTCTATAAAGAGTGTTGCCATTAAAAATACGAATATATTTTGTTCTAAGGCAATCATTTACTGTGAATATTCACTTGAATTCTACAAGAATTCTGACAGTCCCTGCACCCAGTGATGGAAGAGGCGGGAGCACGGTGGCCCACAAGACCGAAAGCAGTTCTAGGCCATTCCCCAGGAAATACTGGACTGATTCCTTGCCATCTTCCATGTTTAGAGGTTGTTTAGTTAATAAAAAAAGAAAAAAAAGAATACATGGAAAATTAGTATTCAGTGTAATGCACAGAAACTTGATATGATCAGATATAAAAGATAAGATCCATTTAAGCAAATATATCTGACAGACACTGAGTAGAGAATGTTTCTTAAAAGGACCTATACTGAATAGGAATGAACTCAGATACTTTATGAAGTAGCTCAGGAAGTTACACAATAGGAAGTTCCATGTTTCTCTGTGCATTCTCTCCCTAAAAATGTGACGGCAAATGCTTTTGGGTTGAAATGGGAGACACGTCATGAGCAGTTTTCCTAGTGTGCTGAGCTTGTAAAAGATTTATTTTCATGTTTCACTCAATTATTTTTTAATGAAACAAAGCTGTATCTCTAATTTTTTAAAAAAAGAGATGTCAGAGGTTGAAGGTCAAAGGTCAAGTTGAGACAAAAAAAGGATAAAATTAAAAGCAAGTCATGGCAGAAGATGGAGATGATGGAATGCATGGGATTTAATTATCTATAAATTGCAAATGAAAGTTATTTTCTGAAGCAGTTCCCTTGCAGTGTCTTGGAGCCTGCCCACTTCAGCATGCATACTTGCCTTGTCTAATAAAAATGCTTTAATTCTGTGGCATGGAGGACTCCTAATGGTATGTCCATTGGTCTATGAATGAATGAATGTTAAATTAGTATACCTTCTGGTGAAGCCAATTTTGCTATCAGAAAGGGATATCCTCTCTTCCTTCATGTTTTAACTAAAGAGCAGCTAATTGGCTTTTCTACAGCTATTTATACTTCTCTAGAACATAGAAAAAAAACAAAAACAAAAAACAACAATAAAAAACCACCTGTCATAGGCAGAGAAAAGATGAAGAGAAATGCCAACTCTTTTAAGAGTCCTTAGTACAACTGAATTCGAGAAGTTCACCTTATTTAAAAATATCCACTAAGCTGACACAGATAAACAACTGAAAGCCAGTCTGCCATCTTCCCTCCTTCTCCCCATTCAAAAACAAAGGATTTATTTGTTGCTATGGAATCTTTCCACTGCATGAGACACCCTCCACTCCAAGCTGAAGTCAAGGGACGCTCAGCTACATCAGCTGCTGCCATCTCAGAAGCCAGCTGCAGCTGGAGCCCTCCTACTTCTCCCTCTCTCCCTCGAGTCAATTGGACTTGGTCCGTCTTTGAATTCACCTTTTTAAGTCTGTCTCCTACAAAGAAAGCAAATCCATTGTGGGTAACTAGCTTTACGGCTCACTCCCCAGGCAGTGAGACCGTGGGGTGGGCGCATGTGCCGGCCTCTGGCCCAGCACGGGCAGTGAGACCGGGGCACAGCAGTCTGGCACTACCGTCTCCAGCTCCCTTCTCGGGTCTCTGCAGTAGTGTTAATCCACACTCGTGCGCTGCTGAGTGAACTCCATGCCAACACACTAGCAAACACAAGATGGCTCTGGCCACTGTCTTAAGCCGTCCCCACGAAGGCTTAAGGTGGCCAAAATGAGGGTGTATACAATGAATTGACCCTGGGTCACATTTCTGTATTTTGGTTCTTGCCCTTAATCCAATAATTGGCAAATATTCACACAGCATCTAAATGCTGCCCAGCAATATCCTAGAAATCAGAGAGGGCCAGAGCACTCTTTCTTCCCTTCTTTTTGTGTCCAATTGCTTTTGAGAACCGATGATTCTGGACGCTACTGCTTACCCTGGATAGGCCGGGATGGCTGTTGGAGGCACCGCTCGGACTGCACCATACACTGTCCGCCCTCGGCCCCTCAGATGGGCTCCTCTGAAAGCGGCTGCCGTGGTGGCTGCAGTTGGGTAAGGGAAGCCAGGAACTAAAGGGAGACCCAAAAGATGACAGAAATTTCAGCCTGCAGTCAGGAGCTGGCTCAAAGCTAGCCTGAGAACCGGTTACGGAAAAGGTAGAGAGACAGGCACCGAATCTTTCCTAGAAAGAGAGCAAGCACACTAAGGAACACACTCTTGACGCTGGGGCTTCATGGGGAAGACATGGAAAGATACAAGATGACCAAGCAATGATTCTATGCCTCATTCTTCGCAAATCTTGAGTTAACTCTGGTTCTTCCAGGGTTTTCTGGTCATAATGCAAGCTGATAAGAAACGTTATCAGAAGCAGCTCTGAAAATCACCTTAATAAGATGTACAACTTTTAATTTCTGTTGATAGTTTAAGTCAGATTAATATACATTTTTTAACTGGCCAACTACTAATTTCATTTCTAAATATTATTATGTAGTAATTATTCCTCAAAAGGAATATTCTTTATTCTTTCACATGGAACTAACCTCCAAGGCATATATAGTAGTTCTTAGAGAATTCATTTGTCAATTTAACTTCTCTAATATATATATATATATATATATATATATATATATATATATATATATA